GACCCTCGCCATACTCTGGTGAAAGTGATTAAATAAATAAATGTCTCCCTGTTTCTGGTTCCCTTTTTGTTGTAGGAAGGAGTCAGCCCAAAGGATCTTGATGACCTTACCAAGAAGTTTGGATTCCCAGTTGGATCAGCCACTTTGGCTGATGAGGTGGATATGAAAGATTTTTATTGTACAAATTAAGACTTGTTGTTTTGGTGGATAAGAACTGTGTATCTAAAGATGAAAATTGTACTTTGTTTTCAGTGTAGCACTGATTCATACACTGTAATTGGAAGAACATGACTGTTTACATAATTATGAACCACAGGCTCATTTGCACACATGCGAAAATATTTAGGGATTTTTATCTTTCATCTTGATTTTTTGAGAGAAAACAAAATGTGCACCTATCGCATTTTTTGACGAAAATAAGTTCTTAAATTAGTCTTCTTTCACTGGAGCTTGTTTTTTTGGAAAAGATGATTTTTAAAAATTTACTGTGCATTGTGTTTGCTTTCTTGGTTTCTCCAAAATTTTGACTTTTCGTAGGCACGTGTTAGATCGTGTTACATGTGAGTGTCGATGGGTTAAACTCGATCTTGCTATAAATTTCTGCATTTTGAGAAAAGAAAAATGGGTTTCGTATGACCAATTGTGATTCATTGGAAGATAACAGGTGAAGTTTACAACATGAATCAGTGATTCGATGATGAAAATAAGTTACCAATGCAGGTTTTGCTTTAATGGAGATGTATAATTTTTTGCATTTGCAATCTCTTACAGATGTTTTGATCTGACATGGGTATTATTTAACACACGTGATATTTCGCACACCAGAGTGCAATATATATGACACAGCATAACAAGGCTTTTGTTTTCGCACCCTTTAACACGATTCTTTGTTTAAACTGAACATGGTTCATTGTTTATATAGAACAAAAGAAAATTTTAATCAGGAGTGCATCATGACACGCTGCTACTGTGTTAACGAAAATTTCTTTTGTCTACCATGCTAAAATAGTGTGCCCGTGTCATCACCATTATGCTGGAAATCCTGTGGAGGGTCACATATGGGTGTTTAGCTGCCTCTGTGTCATGGATTTTAGTGCTTTGCTCAGTAGTATTCATTTGATAATTATATAGCTCATTAGTATAACAATGATCTTTGATGAAAGCTATGTCCATAGAATTTAATTTGAAGAGAATTACTACAAAATCAGGCCAAAAACATACACTACAGTTTCAGTTATAGTGTAGTCATGGCAACATGTTATTCAGAGAAGGTTATCAATATTTAATAAATTTAAGAGCAGTAAGTTCAGTAAGGCTTTCATGTTTAACCTAACCTGTCCCTTGAATAGGTAAAGCATTCCAGTTCCACAGTGCTAAACAGTTTACATTTTTCTTCCTTCAGGTGGGTATCGATGTAGCAGCTCACGTTGCAGAGGATCTTGGGAAAGCTTTTGGTGAAAGGTGAGAATTGCCTTGGTAACATTATTGAAATGAGGTTGGTAGGGAAATCAGTTTGTGATGATGGTTTCTGTTTTTCTTCCCTTTTATCTTTAGATTTGGTGGTGGTGATCCAAGTGTCTTAAAAGCAATGGTCGATGGAGGACATTTAGGTTTGCTTGTCTTTATTAAAAACTATTTCATATGTCAAGGAAGACACAATTTCTATTTAGGTGCTGTTGTATTTTTTTCTTCTTTTTCTTTAACTTTGTTCCTTGTCATGTCACCAGCTGACAAGTTAAAAATTGCTGTCAATATTAGAATTTATGATAAAGTATTTTTTGTGCGCATAAATCTTATCTTTGTTAATAACTAAAATTTAATATTCTTTTTGTTAACAGGAAGGAAGTCTGGAAAAGGCTTCTTTATGTATGGTGGGAAAGGCGAGCGAGGAGTAAGCAATCAATAAAAAGTTACATTTATTTATTTTGTTTAAATTTTAAAGCAGTTGATTACCAACTGAAGATAAATGTATGATTATCAAGTTAATCAAAACTATAACAAAACTCTCAAATGTGATTGGTTAACACCAGCCCGATTTGCACACTAATAGGACAGTGCACACATCATGCTTGTAATAGGACAGTGCACACATCATGCTTGTAATTGGACAGTGTAATAGGACAGTGCACACATCATGCTTGTAATTGGACAGTGTAATAGGACAGTGTACACATGCCTGTAATTGGACAGTGTAATAGGATGGTTCAAAGGTCAGTTAACATGTTATGCCTGTGAATGTGGACAGTACACCTCGTGTTGCACACTTCACCAAGTTAACTTTTTTTTCATGAAAATTTATAATGGATGACTAGTTTCTTTCTTGAGTTTTGTCAAAGTTTTGATTAATTCGTAAGTTGAATAGGACTACAGTCATCCAATTCTGTTGGTAATCATACTAATACTAAACAAATCAGACTTCCACTGCACATTCATGAATCTGATTTTGTTAATCACTCGTATGATAACAGACCGAATTGGACTCCACTTGGTCATACTGCCATTTGTTGCTCTTGTACTGTTGTTTTTGTCAGACAACATGTACACAAAGGTGGTTCATTTAAAATAAGTGTTAATGAGAAGTTGAGCAAAGTGATCAATCTCTTTTTCTTATAGATCAATGGTGCAGCAGAGAAGATTCTTAAAGAGTTTTCCATTCCCAAGAAGGGAAGGTCAGTCTGATTTCACTTATTCCATGTGTTGCCCACCTAGTTATTATTATTATTTCGAAAGATTGATTTGGAATGTTTTGAATTCCCAACTTCCCTCAAACTGTATGTACTAATAAATTTGAAGTCTCCATTGCAAGTGACAAAATGAATGGTCTTCATTTGTCATTGTTTTTCTTTTAGGGGTTGTCAAGTAAATTTTCATTACAATAATTAGAAAAACCAATTGAAAGCTATTTTAACTTATTTTCCCATGATTATTTTATTCTTTTTCCATAGCCATGAAGCTGAGGAAATTCAAATGAGACTGGCAGCCCGATTTGTCAATGAGTCTATACTGTGTCTTCAAGAAGGAATTTTGAGAAATCCAGTAAGTGTGACCTTTTGCAAGCCAGTATCAATTTGTCATTCTTCCCACATTTAGAATAGCAGGTGACCCTTGTATGATAAGAAACCCCATGGCCAAAGAATTCTCTCTCATCAAAGCAATTGTGTTGATTGGCAGAAGTATACTGAACATTTCTTTTGTCATAACATCCTGTAATGTAGATGTCTTATTACTTGCTGTAGCATAGAAGTTCATGAATGAACAATGTGTGACTAATTTAAAATTGAGCTAGCTTTTGAGCAGGCCCTCATTTTGAGAGCTTCTGCATGAGCCTTTCTTCACCTGTGTGTGACAAAGTATGAGTCCTTGAACAACACAAGCAAGAGGTCTGCAAAGAGCCTAGCTCTACCTCTGGCCCCAGGTAAATCTCACCTAGACTCATCTCAACTCTTCCTGCATGAGAAGAAATGCACATCCTGCAGTGACAACAGTGTGGACTTGCTCACTGGCTAAGAGTGAGCTTGATAGTAATCTGAGATTAATTGCAGTCACCTCCCCATGATATAATGCTCTCACTGAATACTGCTAGTCTTCACCATGAGACAAACTTTTTTTTTTCCATCACACTTTCTTTGTGATAATAAGCTAGAGAAGAACACTTCAAATTAAGGGTCTTAACCAATTCTCAGAATCTAAGTTAATTCCACAAGCAAGAATTTCTTGACAGACCAATGATAGCTTTTTGCCATTACTTATCTCTACAGTGTATTTTGTTGAGAAGGGATGTCAGTCCCTTTTTTGGCATAGTAAACCATAAGCTAAAAGTTCTTTTCTCATTCTAGGTTGATGGGGACATTGGTGCTGTATTTGGTCTTGGATTCCCACCTTTCCATGGAGGTTAGTTTAAAATAATTTTTCTTATCTTTTACTGAGAGCACTTTTGTTTTCCATGGCTAAATGCTGATGAAACAATTGTAAAAGTATTCACTCGCTATCTGGCTCTGAAGACAATAACTCTAACTTAAAGGATGAACATTTCCAATTAATATGTATAAATGCAGTATTTGTTTCATTTGACCACACAATAGAGTTGGTTATTGTGGGTGACTCGTTGCTGATGGAAGCAATGGGCTGGCACCCTGTTTTTCTTAAGCAGATGCCCAGCATTTGTTTCAGCTATGTAAAACCCTTCATTATCAGGTGTTCCTTTAAGTTACCCTTACCCTTACCATTTGTGCATAGTACAGTTTTACCATACACTATGTTGAGCCTGAGATAATATGAATCCAATCAAAAACGGAAGGAATTAAGCTCACTTAAGTTTTAGGTCTTCTACATGTTGCTGCAGTCGCTTCCTTCTGAGATCTCTCTCTAACAGTTTCTATGTCAGCTATTGATTTCATGATCACAACTTGTGACATTCTCTTTGTTAGGAAATTAGAAAATTTAGATCAGGAAGTGACTGTAATCTTTCCTAGGTCCTTTCCGCTATCTTGATGCTTATGGAGCTGACAAATTTGTTGAAAGAATGGAAAAACTTCATGAAACAATTGGTGGAGAACGGTTTGTTCCCTGCCAGATGTTGTTAGATTACGCTAAAGATCCAAGCAAGAAGTTCCACAAGAGATAATGGTCTGATAGTCTTTGCAATGCCAGGTATTTTCCTGACCACAGAGGCTGTTAGATGATTTAGCATTCTTTTTGCGACATGGGAGAGTGCATCATTTTTTTAAACAGGAATAGATGTGAATTTGCAAAGATTATGTCATTTCTTTTATAGGGTACTCCTTACAAAAGTTTCATAAAGTTTTCCCAGTTCAAATCTCACACTAAGGAGTTTCTCTGTAAACTGAGAAAATAGCAGCAACTGGTGCTCGTGCATGTGAACATGTTTGTAGGTTGAAAAACTAAATAAAAGGCAATAAACAAACTCACACAGTGTCTTATCAGAGAGGTAACATAAATTGTACAGTCACTGAAATGAGACTAACTATTGACATGGCAAGTAAATTGAAAGCTTACTGACCTTTATTGCAAATGCAAAAAACAAATAGTCAGTAAAGGAAAATGTAATAAGTATTTAAATAAACCAAAATAAAACAGTTAAATAAGCCAATGGGGAGGAAAAGGAACAGGTGATCATTTATTAAGTGCAGCCACATAATTAAACTTGAGGATTTTTGGGTTACAATCCCAGTACCCTTACTAATGAGATCTAGACACACTTCCCTCATTTCAAAAGTTAAATTTACAGGCTTTTCCCTTTCAATTTGTTAAAGCTTCTTGGTATCAAATTACCTCTCAGTCAGGAGAGCCAAATAGCTGGCCATAATACCTGCACATAATACCTCTACACATTTGGGAAGATGTAAAAATACTTAGTTGAAAACTTAATACTTGTATCTGTTTAACTGAAGTAGTAACAAAGATTTTAGTATGTTCCACTGCACTTATCATACATTTAAATCTCTGTTCATGTATGCACTCTACTTCTACATTTCCAAATCAAAACATGGGAACTCTAACATGTTAAATAGTCTTAATTATATGCACACTAACAACAGCAAAGTAATACAGTGCATTAAACATTTTGGCACAACTATGGAATGAGTTTCCACTTATTCTGTCTGCAATTTAAGAGCAGACTTTGTAAAACTGCCATTGACTTAAGAACAAAAGACATCAACCTTATTCTATGTCACATGCTCCTGTCTAAAATCAGAGAATAATCCATTTAATATATTCTAAAGAATATAAAATGTATTCTCACACAAATTATATCAAAATTTATTGGCAAATGAATATTACTCTCCCACTTGCGGGGATTTTAGAGTATTTATATGTATATATTTTTTTCCAACTGAAAATATTTGTATAATGAGCTTTTAAGTCAGCTGAACCGACTGGTGGCTAGTGAAAGTTCAACAGGCATCATTCTTGGAGATCAAGATGTCACACTCCTTCAGCTAACACAATCCTGAGAATGGAAAGGAATCATGATTACACAATATGTCTTGGGAAGATACTAAATGTATTATGGGAACTTAGTACCCTCTGTTACCCTCATTTGCTCAACAAACAAATTAGAAAAGAACAGTCATGTATACATGCACAGGTCTGTGAAGGGAATGCTCATTTTAAGTGCAAGAGGTGTTAAATGGTTATTAATACAATGGGCACACACTGTCGGAATGTGTTCTGTCTGGAAGTCCAAACCACTTCTAACCATACCCTTTGGGTTGGGCAGTCACACACAACTAAGCTAACCTTGGATGATAGTAATTTTTCTTTTTAGTAGATTTATGATGCTTTGTTGGGCTGAGAACACTGGTAGAAGGATGAACACCAATAGCATAGCTCTATTTTCTGCATATAAACACACAACCCACAATTCCTCCATTCACTCTGACAAAGGGCTAATGCTTGAAATGTCAGCCTCACAGTGGCACATCAATTCAGTCCATTAAACCAAAAATTACCTTGTTATACTCCCCCACACATACAGATGAGAAATGAAAGTTAAGTTTAAGATTTAAGCGTAACCCCTTAAACCCTAGGCCTAACATCAGTATGCATATTCTCTATACTATTCTCAGAACTTTTCCTAAGGGGCTGACAAGGAGAATTTGTTTAAAAATTAAGAGCTTCTTTAGTCAGTGATCGTTTCCTTTATTCTCATGACCTTAATGTGTGATTCAGGGGGTGATATTGCAAGGAGAAATTAGATGCTCATGACTCCAAAGGGTCAGAGGATTCATTAACACAAGCCACCTTTGAAACAAAGGCCCTCTGGATTTTGAATCCTCTTAGGTAACCCTGACCATCACAGTTTGGTTAACTTGTGCCTCCAATCTAGTTAGACTTTAAAAAGAACAATTTCGTTGTCACCTACCCATTCTTCTCTGCAATATCACCATAAAGCATTGTTGTGGGTTCAAGAAGTTCTTTCTGCTTTTCTTCTTGAGTCAACTTTACCTCACCACGTGCTATTTTTTCATTTTCCTTTAAAGTAGATAAAATTCCCAAGTATTCACATACAACTATCACAACTCAGAGGGTTATCTTCCTAAGTTTTTTTTTCTGGAAACAATTTGAGTAGACATGAATATAAGTAATACAACATGAGTAATCCTACAACTGGTATTTTGGATTTTCTTTATGCACATCTTGATTTTGTTGACAATAAAGTTCAAAGATTCAAAGGACACTGCCAACAATTCTCTGTGTGTAACAAAAGAGCAAACAGCAAGTTCTTCACATTGACTTTCCAAGACATTAAAAAAAATTGATTGTTCTCGTGTGAAATGCTGTGAATCCTTGCTTCAACATTCAGGCAGAGCAAATACATAAATGTCATTTTTCGCTACATACTATTGTAAGTGTAGTTGTATTAGTTTGTAACTGAACTTTTCTTTTGCAATTGCTTTCCACTATGAAAACTTAGCAGTTCAATAGCAGTTGCAGAACTGAACTTGATTGACAAAGGATTCCTACAAAATGTGTTTTCTCCATTCCCCCAGTACCTGCTCTTCTCTATTCCAAATCTTTTACTTTCAAGAGAGACGGAAATCTAACAAGATTAATCCAATTTCCCGAGCGCACTAAAATTTTGAAAGGGCTAGTCGTCCAATTCTAAGCAAAGAACTGTAAAAGGTCTCTGAAGTTATATTCTCCCCTTACCAGAATCAACATCACTGACTTGAGGTAACCTTTTTTATATTTTAAGTGAACGCGTCTCTTCTTTTAAAAGTTTACGGACAATTCTTTGTTAAATCTATAACAAGAACGATAATACCCACATTTGAAGGAAAACTTGCATGAATAATTAATTACATTTAAGTATTTGTAATTAAATATTGAACAATATTTAGGATTCCCTTTGGAAATACCTGTTGTCAAAATTTAAGGAAAAAAGGGTGAAAATCGAAAGACAAATACATTGATTTCAGCCCATCTATAAATGGGAAAGTATCTAAACTAATTTGTCGACGCTAATGGCCATTGTTGATGTTTCTTGTAAAATACAACAGTAGTTAAGTTATGCATATCAGCTGATTTCAATTTCCATTTTACAAACCTCGCTTTCTTTATCCTCTCGCCAGCGATAAATTTTGGTCATGGTGATAGACAGAAGATGCAAAGCCTCCTGTTTTGTTTGCAGCCAAAAAACGCTCTCTGATTTCACCTGGAAAACATCAGCTAACCGCTTTTTGAAGTTGAATATTTCAGCAGAGCGCACACGACTTAGCCACAACGGTTCTACTTCTTGAAAGATCACCCCGTACAAACGGTCCCTGGCAAAGTTTCGCCACTCCATGAAATCCTCAACAGCCATGTCTTTTTTCTTCTTTAGTCCGTCTATTCGCACAGTGTCGTAATCCGTAACGAAAAAGACTCCTTCAGGTTCATCTTGTGTCCAATTATATTTCTTTCCGAAGGCAACGATTTGAAGTCCCTTCATGGTTGATGGCAGGTCGTCTACTACCGACGGAATCATACTCAACAAGCTGATTGTTGGCCTTACAGTCAAAAGATTCGGAGAATTTACCACATTGTCCATCAATCGCTGGCATAGCTTTAAAGGTCCGTTTCCTGATCCAAAAAACAGCAGTTTTGGATCGAAATATTTGGGCACGTTAACATACCTTCTGCACAAAAACAAATCTTCAGAAAAGCCACCATCACTGAAAAGTGCAGCTCCAGTGGGTAAAAAAGGCGCCGCCATCTCCGATGAAATACAGTGCTTAGGACAAGGGAAGTCTATTTGTCTTGATGTGTACCATTCGAATTCTTCAAGTATACAATCCGGAACAGTCTGGAAAAAATTTAAATTCCAATCACTGACGCCACAGTCAACTGTTTACACATTTCCCTCCAAAATCTCCAAAGGTTACTGCGATCCAACCCCCTGCAGTTTAGGCGTCGGAAAACTGGGTCCTATCATTAGATATCAGTCCCACTCGTTTAACTTTTTAGTCGCATCCCTTCACCGTGAGAATTATTTGAATCTTTCAATCAATAAATGGGCGGTTCCATCCTCGGAGACCCAGGGGCTGTGAGTCGATTTCAAGTTAGGGCGGAAGAGCCCGCTCTTCTGCCCTAACTTGAAATTAACTCACAGTTCCTGGGTCTCCGAGGATGGAGTGGTTCATACCCGGATAAAAAGAATAACTGTATTTGGAAAACAGTGTAACCCACCAGGATCCCAATGGGAGGCTCTGCTTAACTGGTGTAACTTTTTTTACGCTATTTTTATGATTTCTCATCTCTAATCTTTTCATCCAAGTTGTCACAGTCACCGTTAACAGAAAGCGACACTTTGCTTCATTTTAGTAAAACACTTTGTTTCATTTGATGGTGGGAATGTGTCCTTTCTCCTACACAGAAAATAAACAGCCAGTCAATTCCCTTCAATTAACAACTTGTTAGTTGAAGGGAATTGTCTGGCTGTAGCACGAATAGCTTATTAACCCAAGAAATATTTAATCTAATTCAGTATTAGATTAAGAGGGGATACATTCCTCCCAAGAGACATATTTCTTGTTTCAAGCCCCACGAAAGGGTATACATCCTAAAGACAATGGAACACTATCGTTTAGATTTGAGGTATAGGAAAGGGTCTACCTTTTGATGAAAGATGCTGAATAAACAAAATAATGTAGCTGATGTCAAAACTCAGTCATCAACCAGGGCCGGGTTGTTCAAAGCTGTGTTAAGATAACCCAGGGTTAGTGTGAAATTTGATTTCAGATCTGAAAGTTCTGAAAGAAAATTCAGCTTAATTCCATTTGTCTACAATTTGATGATTGAATGTCCCAAAAAAAACTAGGAAAAATTATCCCAAAATGGCTTTTTATTAGAGAAATTTAGAAACCTGGATTAAAATTTAACCCTGGGTTAGAGCTAATCGGCCTTTGACCAACTGGGCCCAGAACTCTACTTCAAATCATGTTCAGTCTACCCTGTCGTCTTGGGTGCAGAGAAAATGAACCTTTGTATGATTAACTTTATAGTTAAAGCTTTATTTGACGAGGTCCAGTAAATACTAAACAGATGGTTGGTAACAAATTCCTTAGTGATCTATTACTAAGAACACAACCCCGTTTGCAGGCTCTCTTTTAATTCCATCTCTGAATGGTTAGAGAAAGATAGACCCTGCGAAGGAGTTTGTCTCGTTTCCAGGGTCACTCTCCAGCGGACGAGAAGAAGAGCATCCCTGGAAACGACGTTGGTATGAACAAAGTCAAACTACACCGGTATCTTATTCGAAACAAGTTAACCCTTGCGCTAGTGCGTCATTGTATTTTCAGTGAACATAACATAGCTGAATGCAATTAAACAAATTTAAATTCACAAATATAGGTTTAATCGAGAAATCTGGGTAGACAAAGAAGGAGTGCAGTTGAGATTTACATATTCTTTTAGCTTCAAGAACATCATGCAAGATATCGCAAAACCAAAACAGGGTCATAGAGTGTGATCATATGATCATTCCCTTTCATAAATACAGGGTAGGCTTCTAACGTCCTCTCTGCACTAAGTAAGTATTCTACATGTCTGAGGCCTATGCATATGATAGAACCTGCGCATTTGGATAATGTAGATATTCTGCTTCACCATATTCGTAAAGAAAAGGACATTGTTTCAATTTAGTGCGGTGAAGGGCAGGTAAAAACAGAGGACGAGCTGCTTCTTTGAGAACACAATAAGAGTGATAACCGTGACATGACGATAGAGGTTGACAGACATTCCAGTTATCTTTCATTGTCCTCACCAAAGTCAGTAAAATTCATAGGAAGTCTTATCTGCTTTACAAAGTCGTTTTTCACTTCATTCAAGTGTCTATCGATCATACTTCACTGGCATCTTTAATGTTTGACACGATGTCAATTTTTCTCACCGTGGCAGCGACAACTCGATGAAGAGACATCGTAGAACCCATTCCAGTGCCAGGCCGCCGACCCTGTCTGGATTCGGTTCTCGCTCTCATGTTCACGTGCGACTCACGTGGCGACGCTAACTTATCGCGATTGACTTGGCCACCGCCCACAAGATCGCTAGTATTTCCCCGAAGAGATGTAAACTTTTTCACGAGGGCCTTCCAGTCTATGACCTCCTCGATTCTAGCAGTTCTGCATGTGCTTCCGCGATGATTAATACTTCCGTTTGGAAGCCACGAGTTGGAAGTTTCGTATAACGGGTTCATTGAATTACTTTCGGGAAGTTGTTCGTCGGTGCGAAGAATATCAATGATGTCTGCTCGGCAACATTTGAATTTTGCTTTGTAAAGTACGCGAATGTAAGAGAAGAGTTTTGTCACAAGATTCAGTGGAGAAGGCGTAGTCGTAGACCGCTTCATGTTGCGAATCAGCTTAGCGCGGCCAAATTTCCACTCCATATCAGACTGCATTTGAATTCGTTGGTAAGTGTCGCTCATCATGGCTATGAGCAGATTAATAAGAACGATAATTGTAATCAAGTTGTAGATTCCGAACGTCGCTTTGGCCAACACAAACACGGTGCTCTCTGCGGGGCTCTCCTTTTCACCTTCCTCGTTAATTCTTAATCTACTGACCTCTGTCAATCCGAACAAACTGAAGAAAAGTAGCTCGAAGCAATGGAAAAAACTTTTCGGTGTGCTCTGTAGTCCAAGCCCACCTTCAGTGGGTGCTCTGGGCCGATAGACGGCCGCTAAGTGCGCGGTAAATCCAACCATGAAGATTGATAAAATAACAAGAAAACGCACCAAGTCGTACATGAGATCCCGGATGATTACCCCCCACGGACCGAACAAATGATGAAACGAGAGGAAATCCAGGAGTTGTGCAAAGCAAAGCATCATTGATATCGCAAAGAACTGATTTCGAGCGTATATTACGTCACTACTGTATGAACCTTGGACACCGACCGCCGCTAAATGTAGAAAAATGCCAATTAAACTCAAAAAGAGCACAATGATCGGTATCCAACCCAGTCCGGCGCGATCGTGGGGATCCGTGAGCTGGGATAAAAATAACCCTGACAACCAGATCAGTAATAGCCACTCATACCACCTTGGCATCAATATGTCATCGGTTAAATCCGTCCAGGGCACCACAACAGTGAAACAAAATAGTACGATAAGGTAGAAATGCGAGATCAAATGACAAATAAACTTTATGATTGGTATCTTATGATAACTGTCGTTCCAGGGAATGCAAAGAAACGCCCAAAGCGGTGGACACATCAGGCATAGCGTAAACAATAACAAATACTTCCAATCATCCCATTGAAAATCTCCACGCCACACGTCGCCAAGGTAAACCTGAACAGATGGATGCGACACACATTTCTTCTGCTCGCATTCAATGAGATAATCCAGGAACGGCACTTCCCGGTCGTCAACAGCGGTCAGCAGTATCTCGGCGCTATCTGCGCATGCGAGAGAAAGCAACTCGGACGCTATGTTCTCACAGACATCTCCCGCCGCCAACAGGTCGCGTCCGCGCTCTTTTTCCCTCGTGGACTCGTTGCGGTAGTGCTTTGAGAGTTTCGCTGCGGCGTAAATAGGTGCGGGGCACTGCAGAATGAAGTCGATGACTGATTCGTTTTCGTCCAGGTGTGAACAGACCATCAGATCAAACAAGAACTGCAAGAAAGACGATGATAACAAGTAAGTTAAGATAAGATTTAGCACATGAACTTTTTACAGAAGAATGAATGGGCAAGAAGATCATCTGCGAAAAAGCTGAGCAAAAAAAAGAGCCCCACTCTTTTTTGAACAAATCTTTGGACCAGCTTCATCTATAGGTTGTAATCATTTAACTAATTTTTTTGTTCCAAAAATAGACACACAACAACAACAACAACAACAACTTTATTTGTACCCAACATAAAATATAGTGATAAAAATAAAGATAAATTGACAAGAATATAAAGGAGTACTAGCTCAAGGTTTTTATTAAAACGTTTCAGAGGAAGAAGCTTTATGTCTTCAGTTATATCATTCCAGACAAACAAACAAACAAACAAACAAAAAGGCAAAAGAACAGGAGTCTTAGCATTCTACTCCACTCGGTGACCTTTTTAAACTCTTTGACCTGTCAAAGCGACAAGCATTTACCCTCTCCTTACACTATCATTTCTGAATCAAATGCAGTGGAACCTCGATTTAACGAAGCTCTATATAACGAAATCCTCGGTATAACGGACGATATTTCAGTTTCAGCTCGGCTAAAGTTACAGTAAAATGTATGCCACAGGACCTCGATATAACGAACCAATTTCCCCTGTCCCTTAGCACTTCGTTAAATCGAGGTTCCACTGTATAAAGGTGATGAGGTTAAAGGAAATGATCATCAACTTAAGAAACTCTTGACTATTAATCAAATAATCATTCTCAGCACCATTTAAAATGCGTAGAGAATATTCACATTGATGTTGGAGAGTTAAGGGCTAATCCGAATGGATGGCACATTTAGAGCCTGATTTTACTTTATTTCAAGTTGTTATTTTTTCGATGGGAATTTCTTTCCAGATTCTTTCCCGGAACACAGCTTTGATAGTTTGACGTGGCCGAAAATCCCAAAGTTAAGTAAAAATAACACAATACCTTTCGGTCTCCAAGCAAAGTCTCAGTGCTGAGTTCCTCTTGCAGCAAAAACTTCACAACAGCCAGGTGGCCGTGCATGGCAGCGTAACATATGGGGAATTTGCCATCCTAAAAGAAAAGGATGTACCTTTTTATAACGTTTGATTCATCGCTACGCCTTAAAAATATTACTAGATGTCTCATCACAAGTAATCGCAAAATGAGACTAAAAAAGGTGGTCCTATCAGGGATGCTTACTTTGTTTCTTCGCAAAAGCGATATTCTTTAGTGTCAATCTTGTCCCCCGGGTCCCTGGAGTGGGGAGGAGAGAGACATAGGAACGAGGCTTTTACGTTGCAATCTTTTTACCTGATCAGAACCCCTTTTGCCACCGAGCCTGCTCGGTTTAGAAGGCTTAGTTTTGGCTTCTTTTATGTGAGATTTTATGGACTGAGAAGATTTCGAAATGTATAAAGCGCAGAAGAAGAATAACGCTAGTATCTGTGAATACCAAAGACCTTGTTCTATTATACATCTTTCGTTGGCTTGGCTTGAAAAGGAAAAGAAACGAACAACTTCTTTCTTGTTGTGCCACCATCTCGGTAATTTTCTAGACGGATGATCATCAGTACAGTGTAAGAAAATAATAGGAATCATGAAAACCATTAAAATATAATGGTTCAATGCATAGCTTCTTTGATTCCATTGCGTACGTAAAACAGATTCTGAAAAAGCCTTATGATGTGGTTAAACTACCCAATCTTTAAAAATTCACATGCCTTTGCTTGACTCATGATCAACTGGCTTCTCAAATGCTCGGAGACAGTAGAAATGCGTACAGTCGGCCATGTTTGGCATTTGTAATTATCCTGTGTATGTTTGGCCTAAAAAATCGAGCCATGATTTGTCAGATAAAAATTGCAACGTACAGTTGCATTCAATTGCATTTTTTTTTAGTCAACGGATGTGTAATGTTCATTTCTCCACTTCTGCTAGCGCATCTCAGTAACCCCTCCGCGCGCAGTTTGTTTCCTCGCTTTCGATTCTCAAGGTAAATTGCTGCTTAGTTTGCAAAAAAAAAAAGAGTATGATCAAACAAAGGTAATAAATTCTGTATGGTGATCGCTTTAATTAAAGGTTATCCTGAACATCTTTAGGCAATATGCCAATAGCCCAGGCAAAATATAACATCAACCTCTTCTTGGATGTTTAAATCCCTTGGCTCATGTCAATAACCATTCACCCATTCTTCGTCAAAGATCTTTTGCGCATAGGTTTGTAACGAAGGTAATTAGTGTTGTTTCAAAAATGCACTTCGCAAAACGCCCACGATAGCGCGTCGAATATGCCTCATCTTCCAGCAGTAAATAACAGGGTTCAGGGATGAGTTAAGGAGGACAACTGCCCATGAATGCATTGAAAAGATCTTAATGGCGGTGTTTGGTCCTGAGCTAAAGGTAGCTGCAGCAAAACTACACAATTGTGGCAAATAGCAAATCAAAAACACAATATAAACATAGAAAGCCCCAGCTGCTGATTTTTTGCTAACTGCAAGATTTGTTGCAGCCTCTGTATTTTGCTCTACTTGTTGTATTTGCGCAAGACGAATTTGTCTTTTCTGGCGTCGCACGACGATGAAAATCTTGTAATACAGCACTGTGGAGATCACAAGACAAGAAACGCCAATTGGAGCAAAAATTGCGCTGGTAATATTCCAAGAAAACGATATCGTAAACGAAGAAAGGATAGCGCTGAACGCCCACAAGGAGATCACCATGGAAACAACACGCTTGTAAGTTACAAGCTCATTGTATCGGAGATGAAAATGAATGGCAAGAAATCTGTCTACACTCAAAGCCATAACACCAAAAAACGAAGCTGCAGAAAAGAGGATTCCGATGAAAATAAACGCAGTATAAGTAGGACAAGTCGGGCCGCTTCTTGCGTTCATCTGTAACCATTTGAGCATCAAAACGATGTTTAAAGGTTGGGCCAGTAAACCAACAGCAAGATCGGACACAGCCAGGTTCAGGAGAAGTGTTTTTAGAGTCTCTGACAACGATGACGTTTTTCTCAGCGCGTTGATGGTGACACAATTAAATGTGATGGCGGAGATAGACAAGAACGAGTTGAAAACGCAATTGGCAAAGTACCATGGATATAACTCAACATACTCATTTCCTGTGGGCCAAGACAGCAACAGCTCGCGACAAAGAGGATTTTTCATGATGATAAGAAAAAGGGATATGTGAAGTATTTTTCTAAAGCTGCGTGGGTTTAAGCTGTGGCATCAGTGAACCACGCGTTCACAGTTTGATCAAATCTGAGCATCGCGTTAAAGTCACCGATGTGGCTACATCTAATTAACAAAATTTATTCAACAACTTGTTTGTTTCTGATGTCTGATGTCATTTATCTGGCTGAAACAGATGTCCTGTATTTTTTTTCAATTAAGAACGATAGCAGCTCAAGGCGAGAAGATCTAGAAATCATCTTAAAAGTTTTAAACACATTTTTAAGCGGAAGAACTGGAGTATGAATGGAAAATGAGGATCTTGCTCAATATGCAAGGATAAAAGAAAAAAATTTGGATGCCGACGCAGTGTATCGAGTGATGCTGTACTCAGCAGAACAAAATAACACAAAACGAAAGAAAACTGTTTCAATAATTATGCGAAATTTTCGCGAGCAGGCATTATTAAGTGATGACAATCTTTCGCTCGTTAACAATGCTGTATCGTGAACTTTAGAGCTTAATTGTTAATTCTAGCTTTCGTTTGAAACTCCGTTTCTGGTTCGTTATCTCATGTGTTTAAATAACTACCATTTTCATAAACGGATCGAGGAAGAATCATTGTATCTTTGAGCTGTCGAGTGCTTAAAAAGCAGTGTTGTGGTTTTTAGCGCTAACCCACCTAACGAACGACTTCAATAACAATAGCGAACTCCTTCCAATAACAAAAAAAGAAAGCCAGAAAGAGCCTGAGAGGTTATGTAAAGGGTACTTTGTATTCCAACTGTCAAATGACTTAACGTAAAGTAAATAAAAACATCTACAAAAATTAATTTTTAAGTCGATGGAACAGCAGGTGCCTGCCAAATATGCACGACTTTGTCGGCGCCTTAGGAAATGAATTAACACCAGTAGACAGATGTTGTGGTATAAAGAGTTCTAACTGTCAACCGACTCTAATTGAAGTCATTTATAAATAAATAAAGGCTGATAGTTTCGAAAGAAACTGTTTGGGACTGCGTCGGTGGGAGTAACGAAATAATTTGGATATATCAACAAAGTTGAAATGGCAAATTGGCCACCGTAACGATTACAAAAGCTGACGTTTCGAGCGTTACCCTGTTTCTGTCGTTCAAGCGGGTTACCACCGCGTCCAACTTATTGATCGACATTCAGCACTACAAACGTCGCAGAAGGAAGATTCCGACCTCATTCCATTTACTCTCACGTTTCACTCTCACAACCACTAAGTTAAATCCATCATTCTTAAAAACTTTAAATTACTTAAAAACGATCCAGAGACAAGCACTATCTTTTCGCAGCCTCCGCTCGTTTCACTCAAACGCGACAAAAACATAGGCAATTTTTTGGTCAGAAGTTCTTTTCAGACTAATGACCAACCAGGCACTTTTAAATGCGCTCGTGCACGATGCAAAACGTGTCCTTTCATTCACAACACTGATAAAATATCGGGACCTAAACGATCCATTAAGATCACCGATCACTTCACGTGCACCTCCGCCAATGTAATCTATTGCATAACTTGCACTTATTGCAAAAAGATATACATCGGCGAAACAGGCAGAAGACTAGGTGACCGATTCCGAGAACACCTTCGAGACGTGGAAAAGAATGACAAGGACACATCGAAACCAGTGCTAGACATTTTAATTTACCTAATCATTCTAAGCAACATATGGCAATCTGCGGTCTTTCCTTACACTTAGGTAGCACGGAAAGCCGTAAAACTCTTGAACAAAAAGCTCATCTTTCAAACCGGCAGTCTAAATCCCACAGGGATCAACGAATGCTTTTCATTCCACTAATTTATTCGTATTTTTCTCGTTGCCATGTTCCCACCAATAACGTAGCTCCATTTTCTTCCTTTAAAAGCACACACAACCCACAATTCCCCTATTCGCTCCGACGAAGGGCTAACGCTCGAAACGTCAGCTTTTGTAATCGTTACGGTGGCCAATTTACCATTTCAACTTTGTTGATATATCCAAATCATTTATAAATACCTTATCCTCAGATTTTCGCGAAACAAATTCAAGAACACACAGTCGTTTGCAGATGGCAAATTTAGCTAATGCCGTGTATGCTTTTAGCTATATCTTTCTTTCTCTTCAGTTTTTTAAATTTGTACACCAAACTTGTGCAACAAAAAATAAAAGTCACTGTGCTCGTTCAAAAACAAAAGACCATCTTACGTCTTTACTTGGCCCAAAGATTGAAAAACAGTACTGCGTTCTCGTAATGCGCACGCGCTTTATCTCCTGACTACGTGATTTTCATGCGCAGAACAGGGTGCGCAGTGCATTACTAAGGAATCACCTTAACCTTTTACCTACCATAAAAACCTACGATAGAATTTCTACTTCTATCAGGCCCGCAGAAAAGTGATGACAATAAAGACAAATATCAATTAGGGGATCATTAGTTGATCTAATACCAAATTCTTCGAACTAACATAATAAGAATCGTATGAGAATGTAAGATGAAACAAACAACACTTTTAACGTATTGTCGAAAAAAAAATCCAAGTCCCAGATGGGATTTGAATCCACGACCCTCCGTTATCTAGTCCAATGCTCTAACCACTGAGCTACTGGAGACTCTATAGTGAGCAAATGTCAATTTGTGGGTCTTGACTGGAACCGCATCGCGCAGCTACACAGTCAAGTACTGAGCAGCGCATGTTAAACTCACTAACAGCATTACGCTGTCACACTAAAGCATATCAAGAATCGTATGACAGACAGTCGGGAGAATTACTGATCAGATCTTGGAAGTGGAAACGTAAATGATTGGTTAACATCTGCAAATTGAAAGAAGCGTCGATCTGACAATTATGCCCGGATGTTGTCTTCACTTTTTTGCAATTAATTATTAA